CCCCAAAACCCCCAAAACCCCAAAACCCCAAAACCCCTTAATTTCATGAAATATTTGAACAGACCTAAATTTAGATGAGACTTAAATTTAGAATAATTAAAAATGATTTCTAGAAGATGAGTAAACCCAATAGCAATCTGAATGAAGAACAATAGTTTGAGGAGAAATCTAAAGCAGAGCTCATACCTCTCTGCTAGATCTTTCTTTAAAAGCTTGTTCTCCCCTGTAGAGGAGATCACTTTTAAAGTGAGTCCAGAGAAAGAGCCAGAAAAGGTGTTCACAGTAAAAGGCTATGAAGGCGACAACCTCATGGATACCCTCAATGAGAGTGAGATCAAAGGTTTAAATGTCTTTGGAATATGTGATAAGCAACTAGCTTGACTTTCTTGAAGGGTTAATGTTGAAGAAGGATATAATAATCTTCCTAAACCAACTGAGGAAGAGACTGATATTCTTTATGATCTGGGAAGACATTATAAAGATAATATCACCAGGATGAGCTGACAACTAAAAATATCCAAAGCTTTGGAGGGAGCTCATATCTTTGTTCCAAGAAGCGCCTTTGCTGTATTTGAAATACTCAGTGATTCAGATTAGATAAAAGAAGAGTGGTTGTAATAAAATTATAATTTACAGATTACACATGCCAAATTTTATTTATCAAAAACTAGCCCTTTGAAATTTTAGTTGCGATTCAAGCAGAGATACATCTATTCACCTTATAAAGTTCTTTATATTTCTGAATCAGCTTCTGCATTTGCTGAAGCTCATCTCTTGGAGTTTTTCGCCTATCACTCAAGATGAGCTAATATTTTAGCATTCATTCTTTCCGAGGAGTCTATCACGAGAAATTTTAAAATCAATTCTTTTGCTGGTTCGGAAATATCTTCCCAGTACTGTGAAGGAAAATCGAATTCTCCCTTCTAAATCTCTTCAAACAATTCAGAATGGTCTTTGCTATAAAAAGGAGGGAATTCTCAAAGAAGAATGTAGATAGGATTCCAATGCTCCATACATCTACTGAAGTTCCATATTCTTTTCTTGAAATGATCTCTAGGAACCATCTCCTAAAGGTACTCAACCCTATTGATGTATGTTAATCATTGGGTATGAATCTAAATGTCAAAAAATAAGAGTTTTTGATCACAGATCCCCCATCCATTGTTATAAAGCAAATTTCTGGTTTGAGATCTCTATAAATAATGTCATTTTCATAGCAGAATCTAGTTGTATCAACAATTGAGCGAATAGCATCAGTTGTTTCCTTTTCAGAATATCTTTCTTTCTCGATAATCCTATCTTAAACTCTCCTCCAGTCATGAGCTCCAGTACGAGATATAAGAAATGTTCTTCTTGGAACACCTCTATCATTTTTACTACATTTTGAGATAATAATCTTTATTTAGACTTAATATTTTATCTAATATTACAGGTAATTTCTTAAAGATGAGAACTTGCACTGAAATTATGCAAGATTGCGAGTTAAGTACTAGTAGCTATATTCACAGAATCTCCTGAAGATAGAATTTCAAGGATCAACTATCTTATTTTACAATCTATCCGGGGAACTTCCATACACACATAACTTTAACCTTACTCTTTTAATTTTAGAAAGAGGGTTTAAGCATTATTTTCAGATTTTTCTCAACGAGTTTCCAAATTTAGAATTTGCTAAAGAAATGGTCTAATTAGATGAAAATTTTATAGCTATGGTCATTATTAAACCATAATATTTAAACTACACTTGTAAGCCTTTTATCTAAGTCCAATTTTACTTTCTAAGTAACTCTTTGTAGTCACATCCCTAAAGCTTAGAGCGACTCCTTAATCTGGATGATCAATGGATCATAATATCACGAATTCGGCTTTGAGCACAGTTTCAACATCTTCTGCGAGTCTTTTCTTGTGTATAATCTTTATAGCTACTTCTTCTCAAGTGACTTTGTTACTACCTGGTCTTACAATACCGAAAAATTTAGCACAAATCTTATCTTCTGCCCTGTATTACTTTGAGGAGAGTTTAATAATTTATGCTATTTTCTTTATGATGAACAGACATTTTATTAGACTAGAATTATTCTAAAAGTCTATTATATTGGAGACCAAAGGGGTTTTGGGGTTTTGGGGTTTTGGGG